ATGGGTGACTATGACAGACTCTCCAACTGGGGTAGAAACATGGATGGAGGCATCAAGTATATCACAAATCATAGCAAATTCTGAGGCAAACCACACGGACACATAAGAATAAGTAGAACCTGGATCAAATAAAACATTAGCCATCCGGTCACAAACAAGAATAGTACATGTGATCACTGCGTCAAACGCCTCTACCTTGGTCTTGCCCGGAAAGGCATAACACTGAGCCCTATCATCTTAACGGGCGACTTCCCTGTCTGGCTGCACTGCACCTCTGCCTGTGTTACCATTTCCCCTACCTTCGCGGTGTCGCTGATTTCCTCCTCGCCCACCTTGTGGATCCCCTCGACTATTATTACCATTTCTCACGGGTACCATTGCTCTAGACTGCTGTTGCACGGAATCCAATATGCGCACATGGGCACAATATCTCCGCATATGCCCAAGTTCTCCACAATTGTAACAAGTACGATCAAAAGATGGTCTGCTGCCCGCCGAAGGTGCGGCTCCCTGGCTATCCTGAATCAAATTCTGATGTGGAGTTCCGGAGTAATTACCTGTAGAAGCAGGCATAGCGGATTGAATTGATCGGGCTGCAAGAGTTGCCCTTCCCAAACCTCTGGAATAAGAACCCTGAAAGTTGCGTGAATTCTTGGCTTTCTTTGCCAATGCCTTAGCCTGACCATCTCGCCTCACCCCCTCCACTCTTTTCACAAAATTTTTTACCTTATTGAAGCTTTTTTCTGCAGAGGTCAGATGAACAAACAATACCTGTAACTCAGAATTTAGTCCCTTAACAAATAAGTGGATCCTCACTCACCAATTGCATAGCATATCTAGACAAAACATGGAACTTGGCCTCATAAGAAGCCACAGACATACCACCTTGTTCCTAAGCCATGAACTCATCCTTCTTACGATCTCTCAAAGTCCGGGGCACATATTTCTCCAAGAACAGAGCATCAAACTGGGTCCAAGTAAGTAGGGGTAAAACTGAAGATCTGCACTCCACATAAGTTTTCCACCACTGCTTAGCCTCACCTTGAAGCTGAAATTCACAAACTCAATTCCATGCTGATGGACAATACCCAACTTATGAAGCCTCTCATAGCAATCTAAATTGAACTCATATGTGTCCTCACTCTCAGAACCATGAAAGACAGGCGGTTTCAACTTTAAGAACTTAGTCAACATCTCGTGCTCATTACTAGTCATAATAGGACCCAAGAAAGGATGAAAAAAAACAGCATTACCTACAGTTCCACCCACCTTGGGGACAGTGATAGCAATAGGGGGATTGGCCGGAGCTTGAGTTGCTTGAACAGAGGGAAGCACTCCATGACCAACCAATCCTTTCAAGAACAACATGATTTGTTGAGCTAACACTGGGTCTAAGGGAGGAATATTTGTAGTCTCAGCATGTACCTCTTCCTCTTGTCCAACATTCTCCTCATTCTCAACCTCTACATTCTCCTCTACCTCTTCATGGTGCGCAGTAGTACCTCATTCCTGGGAGCATCTCCAACCGATGATCCATCATTATTAGGTGTCTCCCTTCCTCGGCCTCTACCCTTTGCTCTTTCTCTACCCTTGCCTCGACCGCGACCTCTTGTTGTAGATTCCTCAGCTGGAGCGTTGACAGGAACTACGGGCCTGACGCCGTTGAACCTAGTGTTAACTATCTGCAGACAGAAGAGTGAAGAAGATTAGATACCGATTCGGATCGCTAGATACCAATTAGAATCAAGTTATACCATGAAAGGAGACAAGAGAAAATAGAGAGATTTCCTAAAGTCCTATAGCCTCGAAGAAAAGTACAGACGTCTCCGTACCGTTCCACAAGACTCTACTAGACTCGTTTTGGTACATCGAGATCAACGAACCTAGGCTCTGATACCAACTTTGTCACGACCCAGACCGTCGTGAGTGACACCTACACTAACGCTCCGGTAGGAGAACCATTACTACAACCCAAGCTAAACAACTTAACCAAAAACTAAGGTATTTAAAGATACGAGAGCAGGTTTAAATGCTAAGGAAAAGAAATAGGGAGTTCCAATAAACTCCAAAAAAAAGTCTAACAACAAAAACAATGCGGAATAACACCTAAAACCTGAAAGTCAATGTACTAAAACATCTAAAGTTCAACAAGTCTAAGAATATGGGTACAACCCAATTAAACATAAGAAAACCTAATGCACTAGTCTAATTCCGAAATGGGGGCATAAACGAAGGAGAACTCATGGTTGCCCGAAAGAACTGGCTCACCCTTGAACTTGATGACGATTTCTGATCTTCTAAGCCAGGTCTGTCAATAGCCGCTTGAAGAATCCCTGTATTCAACAAAGAAAGAGCAAGTGCATTATCAGTACACAACCACAGTGTACTGGTAGGATCACACGGCTATCCTAATAAGTACAACATACATAAGCCATTACAACATAATAATAACATGCATACATCGAACATATAGAATATCAATATCATGCACGAATAACGATCAAGTTCACAATTCTCAAATTACACAGTTATGTCAAGTCAATGGTCCTCTCATGGAACCCACACCCAAACTGTTAGTGTATCGGTACGTGGTACCCGTTCCAAATTAGCGTGTCGGATCGTGACACCCGTTCCAATATTTATGCCAGTACGTGGCAACCGATCCCAATTAGTGTGTAGGAACGCATCACCCGATCTATTCAAAAAGCCACAATCACAATCACAAGCATATTCTCATAATTATACAAGCAAGTCATGATTCATGGCATTCAATCATTCAACTATCCTCATTTACGATTTGTGTGATCAATAATGCAACATTCGCATACATACATACATCATAATGAAGCAAGATGAAATCACAGTCATCACCTACCTCGAACCAAGCTTTAATTCCCTAAGAAACTTGATTCTTCCCTTTTCGGATTCTTTCCTCTTGTTCTTGGTCTACAAACAATCATAACAACACGGAAATCAATAAACAATGTCTAATTACAGGGGTTAAAGTCAACACTATCAACTCTAGATCAACCACATGATTCTCACTACCCAAATTAGGGCTTTTCCCACTATCCAAACAGTTCCAAAACCCTTACCCAATCGATAATTACCCATTAGTTTACGTTCTACGGATCGAAAAATGGATTTGGGGAGTTATAACCTTACCTTTAGTCTTAAGAATGGTGAAAAATTGTCAAGAACTCACCTGGGGTCGTCTCCTATCTCTCAAAGTCGAAAAGTGCAAAATAAAACAATTTTGGAGTTTATTTCCGACTTAAGTCACGTTTGTCCCGCTACAACGGTACTCACCTCGCTACAGCGGCCCGCCCTGGTGGCACTAAATCTCGCCATAGCAGCTTGCACTGAACAAAGAGCTAAATAAAGAATTTCCAAACCCCCCATTTAACAACACACCTTCATCCCAACTCAGAAACTACCCTCTCATGCCAAGATCAAATTCGGGAGTTCTACTCGCCCGAATTAAAATCCATAAAGTCGTACGGGTTTCTTAATGTCTTAGCTATCTATTCATATGATCGAATTCATAATTAGATCTCCCAATTGGTAACTAGACCTCACTGACTTCGACTTCGTCCAAATCTGGACTAGGTTGGAAAATTCCAAGTTACTACGAAAAAGTTTTCCGGCACAAAATTTTTCCCCGATGGCTTTTCTATAACGACAGAATCTGATCGTTACACATATCCTTTCCTACGATTTCCCCATTGTGCATACACAGGCTAAGTAATACTACAGGCAATAACATGCATACCTATACCTATTAATGGACAACACAAACTATCTTAATAAGGAAACTCAAGGCTAAACAAGAACTAGAGCACCACCCCCTAGTCATTATCTCGTCTCCCACCTTAACAACAATGAATAACAACCTATAACCCTACAGACTCCGTGCCCGAAGGCCTACGCATGAAACTCCGAACATCTATAAGATATAATGTGGAAAAAATGGATCTGACTTTTAGTTGAAGGAAAGCTAGCCAACCTGGACGTCAAGCATCAACTGATGAACCTTACCCATGAACTTCTAACTGTGTGAGAGTATACCATGATGAACGAGCACAAAATTTCTTAGGTTTTCACCTTCCTTGCGCTGTAATCCTTCACCCTCATTGCTCCCTTGCCTTGGATGCCTTTAGAGGGTTTTTGGAGCATCCTTCGTCCATTTTTTTTCTTTTGAAAATGCGAGAAATGTGTAAATACAATTTGATTTTTGACCATATGGGAAAAATCAAATTGAGCCAAAATCATCGGGTGCTCAAATTTAATTTAAATTCTTGCACCGTATTTCCATAACTTCGGAACTCCACAGGAGATGCCTTTTAGTAATGACTGATCGGATCGTTACAATCACCTATTGTTCTCTTTTATATTATCTTATTGCGTAAATTATTTTTCCCTAGCAAGTGTATGTATGCATGCATGGAAGTTCAACTCATTAACCAATTAATATTCATCGATGCTCAATGGTGTAGGTTTTTTTAATAATAAAAGCTATATTTACCTGTTATAATAGATAAATTGTCTTACTTTTAAAATTACAAATCTTACTTTGATGAAGTTTTACTTGTAAATATCTTTCAAATAATTTAGTACGTGTATATAACTTAAACTTTGGAAAATATGTAGTCTACTTGTTTTAGAATTTTGCATTTTCACATGTATATAAAATGTGTTTTCTTTTTCTATTTGAAACGACTGATTAATTTGGAAATTTTAATTCATCAGTAATAATATTCAACATATAATTTAATTAATTGATAAACAACTTGGAGATCAAAACCATATAATGCCACCGAACCTCTTCCTATAGTCCAATTGCATGATTAAATGAATTTATTTGGTATGTTCATGTCCCTATTGTCATTAATTTGAAAGTGAGTGACCACCAACCTAGCTATGGACACTAAATATACTCAAATAATTCTTCTATATAAGGATCTTCCTTTAGCCAAACTATAGTATATCTCCACTAAACTTTTTGAGTTCCCAAAGTTTGTGAATACATATATCTTTTCCCTTCCTATTTCCTTGGCTCCTTCCATTTACATAGATTCCAAACCAAACATGAATTCAGAAAGAGAAAACAATAATAAGGCCATAGTGAAAACTCTTTATAAGGCATTAGCATGTACATGTGGTGACACTAAAAAAGTTACCGGTATTATTGTTGATGACTTAGAATGGTGGTTTCATGGACCACAAAATTGTCACTATCTGATGAAACTTCTCACTGGAGAACAGTCTAATAATAATAATTCTTTTAAGTTTGAGCCAAGAAGTGTAGATGCTATCGATGATCGTGTTATCGTTGAAGGATGGGAAGGTGCAAAAGCTTATTGGGTACATGTTTGGACATTTAAAGATGGTGTTATTACTCAATTTAGGGAGTATTTCAATACTTGGCTTACTGTGACGGAGTTGAGGCCTATGGGTTGGCTGCGCTCCACCACACTGTGGCAGAGCCACCCTCGAGACCTCGCGAAACGCTCACTTCCGGGGCTTATGCTCGCAATTTGAAAGTGGTGAACGGATGTGTCATGTCATGTAGTACTATATATATAATCCGTTAGGGAAAAGAAAGCAAGGGGTGTTTGCCTTCTTCCTTACCTAAGTGTGAAAAAATGTTAATGTTCAAAGTTTGGTTACATATCCAACGGACAATTTGATGAAATATTGTTCCATTTTAATGTAGGAGTGTTTGACTTGGCATGGTGTTTAAGAAAACAAGGAAGACTTTTGAAAATTGTGGTTTAAAATAATTGTTATTATTTATTTGGTTGTAAATCATTTCATTAAGAGTAAAAGGAAAATTTTAAAGTTAAACGATTTCTAATTATTGTAAGGTGACATTCTTTTTGGAACGAACTAAAAAAGAAATTAAAAGGGTGCTACATGAATCGAGACGGAGAAAGTACTTTTTTTTTTACAAGAAACCAAGAAAATCTAGTCCTGATATAATAGCCAACTAGCCAAACAGACAAGTATGTCCTAAACAAATTTCATGCGATAAGCTTGATCGAAAAAACATATATAAAGTTTTGAACCTTAAATCCTTAGATAGGAGATCTCTGCTCAACTAATTCAATCATTCCATTGTTAATGAAATATTGTACTTATGAATGGCTGGTTAAAGATGTTGTATTCAAATTTCATGGTAGGACAGACCATGTGGAATGATATTTTTTGGCAGCTTTCTTTGGCAATCACTTTGGACTTTGGTCTCCACAAAAGTTGAGCATTTCGTGATTAATGAAGTTAATCGTTAATCCGTGTAACATTATTGTGACGATTATATTTAGGTATCTACAAATTTGTACAAAATTTGCCTTTCCCTCCCTATGGACATAATACGATCGGTGGTGACGTGGTGCCTTTTAGTGTCTCCACGTAAGTTTTAAGTGGGCGTTGATCATGTCTATTGTGAAATTTGAAAAGAGATATTTTTATTTTTAAAGTGAAAAATGATTGAAATCTAAGTTCTGTTTGATCATAAATACAAATTGAAGTTGTCCTTCTTAAAAAGAAATTTATTTCAGTGAAAATAAATTTTGTTATATTTCAAATTCATAAAAATTCAAAATTTTAACTTCGAGTTAAATCTTGAAATTTTATACCCAAACATATTTAAAATTCGTGAAAAGTTTATTAGGGGTGGCGACTTTTCCACTTATTATTTTCACCAAAAGTCGTTTCTTGTTGTTACACTTTGCTTTACGGTGATACTCCTTCCGTCCACTTTTAATTATCATGGTTTTCCTTTTTAGAGTCAAACTATAAGAACTTTGACTAACATTTTGCCATGTATTTTTTCATCATATTGATATGCAAGAAAATACAATTTATAGTACATTTCATGTAGTTTTTGAATATCTAAGTTTTTTGTTTAAAATATCGAATAAATATAATCTAATTTAACTTTGAAAATTAGTCAAATTGACTTTCGAAAAATGCAATATGACAAATAAAAGTGGACGTAGGTAGTACTGTATATTCCACTGATTATTTATTGCCATAATAAACCACAAGTTTGCACTCCATTTAAAATTCATGATAAGTGCTTTTAATTATAAAATTCTCAGTAAAAATTTATATCGGAGATTATGTATCTTTACTAACTTATAATATTCTTTGATAAATAAATAATTATCAGCATTGAATTTTCAATCAGATATTTATTTTACTATTTTCTTTCAAAATTATTATACCCTTAACTGAAAGTTGGAATATCTTAAAGTTACCATAATTAATTATAATTATATTTAAATAGTTTAAGAATATTTTTGACGGTGATATTTATTGGACATTTGGACTGGTCGTATATGTGATAGAAGGGGTCCTTATCTAAATAAGGGGTCCTTTGCTATTAAGGCAATAAGAAAAGTGCATATTGCAATTCAAAAGGATTATTAATACATGTATATTACTATATATCTTTTGATTATGAGTAAGGTCCATTAATTATTTGGTTCAATGAATTAGGGATTACGAACTAATCATGTGTTTAGTTTAGGACCAGATTAATTAAATTTTCTATTACTGTCAAATCATAAAATTTCGTCCTATTCTCCTTCATAATACACTCAGATTAAAGTAGCTTAAGATACAAAGTCAATATTTCAAAAAGTCATTTAATTATAAAAGCTATGTAGTAAAATCATTTAATATTGTTTTGTATGTATAAGATTATTCAACTTAGAATTTTTCTCTTATAAAATCATCCAATTTATTATTAAAGAAAACACATTTTAACCCCTTTAACATTTTGGATTTGGAAAAAACCTTTTTATATTTTGAATGAGACAATAAACTACCTTAAATCTTAAATCAATTACTAAAAATAAATTAAATTATTACATTTTTTTTTAAAATGTAAAAAGCAATCCTCGAGTTAATTATTACCATGAACAAGAATACAAGGAGATTGGAAGAGGGAACAGATCAACAGAATATGAAAATCGAACGTGGAATCTTTTAGTATTTGGGTAAACAAAGTCATAATTTGTAATTTTAGTAGATTAAATGTAAAGTCCAAATTACCTTCTATTTTTATTTTTCCTATTTATGTAGATACCTAAATTTTATTGGAGTAAAATTCATAAGAAATTTGAATTAAATCCATGTAATTTGGGTTAAACAAATAATTTGGGCTTTACAAATGATTAAGTCCATTTTATTGAGTTCAAATCCAAGGTCCATTCTATCTTAAAGCCCAAACTTGTGCCACGTGTCACAGAGGCTAGGCATCCAAGACAAACAAGGTGACGCCACATGTCCAATTGAGGCGGTAGTCCTAGTCAAATTCAAGAACCAATCATAATCCGTCAAGTGTCAAACAAACATCCTTTGACCAATCACAATCAACCTTGTTCACCCCTACAACTATAATAGGGGATATACATGACACTCTAGAGGGGATTCTAAAAACACTTCAACAAGCATTCTGTAAGTATTGAAAAAAGTTACAACATCAATTGCATAGTTCTTCAAAGTATTGGTCAACAAAGTTCTTCCCGGAGATCGACTTGAAATGACGAAGTGCTTTCCGGCGTTCCCATAGATCAAATACATCTCAAGGAGGTCTACATCATCCTACATTCGAGAAATACGATAATGAAAACTCTCAAATTAGAAGAGAAGAATTAAGAGAATAACAGAATTTTACTCACAAGATTCATCAATACAAATCACATATTCTTTTATTCATTTTGATTGTAGTTAATCTTCAGCGCTACGAAATTTTGTTGTGAACAAATTTGGTATGCTAGCAGGATAAATTCTGCTATTCATCTCTGTCTCTTGCTAATCAGAAACTATAAAGTCAACAACTACAATGACCTTCAAAAAGAGTATGGATGTTTCATGCAAGGACTATACTAATGTCGTATCTGCTGATCTCAGTCATGTTGGCCCGATTATTCGACGTAAGTTCAAGAACAGTGGGTTAGATGAATCTGAATACTTCACTTCTGTTGACACCCAGTTTTGACCGACCTACAACCCTTTTCGAATTGCCATTTGATTAAATATGTATTTTTTAAAATTATTTCTCTTTACCAGGTTTGAAATTCTAGTTAATTTTATCTAAATAATTATATATTTTAATATTCATAATTTACAAATATTATTGTTATTATTATTATTATCATTTTATTTATCGATTGTCGAATTTGAAATAATTATTTTACTTATTTATTCAAACATCTTTAATATTCAAGTGTGTTTATTTTATATGAAAATTACTTATAAATTAAATAGCCAACTTATTTAAATATTAACCTCTTCCACGGATTCATTGCAATTCTAGCCTCTTGTACTCAATTCCTATGTCAATTCTGACCTTCATTCCAATTTCATTTCGATTATAGCCATTTGTTTGTTTCAATTATAGCCTATTTATTCTGAGTCGCCCATCATCTTGATGTTTATTCAAAATTAAATCAGTCATTCATCCATTTAAATCCAACGGCTGAGATTTATTAATCACATTTTTTCTCCTATTTTAATCTCAAAAAAGACCCCAAAGCTCACTCTTTCTCCTTCCCTAAGGCAGAAGGCACGCCCACCATCTCTCTCGATCTCCTAGTTTTGGTAATTGATCGTTTTCTTTTCTTAATGAGTATTTTTTTTAAAAACAATTGTGACTAATCTTTGGCATTACTTCATGATTTATTTCCTTATAAGTATTATTACTGATTAACTTATGGTAATTTTCTGATGTGAATAATTAGTTTTCTCGTTTCTTTCTATTATTATTAAATATTTGTCATAACTTTCGAATTAAAATTATTGTTATGGTCGGTTTGGATTTAATTGGTTATAATTTACTTGACTTTAGGGATTTTTTTTTCATATAGCTTATCTGAAATCATGTGATAATTGTGGTACTTGTTTAATTTTGGTATAGTCTGATTGCTTACGTTAGTTGATTAGTTTGGCCTTAATTAAGGAAAATCTTATTATTAATTACTCTTTCATTAGATAAAGCAAAACACTTTCTTCTACTTCTCACTTGACACGCTTTTTGACTAAAAAAAACACTCTAAAAGAAAAAAGGGAAAAACTATTCAAGCTTTCTCTGTTTTGTTGTTTTGGCTCATAGCAAGTTTATCTGCTTAACCGGTTAGTAACCTTTATTAGCATTATTTTATTCTTGCATACATCATTATTTACTTTAAGCTTATGATATGCAAAATCTTTGTTTGAGAATCTAGATGATTAATCTTGATTGGTATGTATTCTGTGGGGTTTCGAACTGTGTGAATATAACATGTTTAGAATATCTTAGAATTAGCCTTATGAGTTAACTATTCGTACATAGCATTTAAAATCATGTGCTATTATCTTCATGTCTAAATCTAAGTCTGAATGTTTTTTAAGTAAAGTTTTCTCACATTTTTTGTTCTAATTCCCTTTTAAAAAAACAGACCTGCCTATTGTTAGAATATTAATATCTGAATCTGAATTTTGCCCAATCATCTATCATTACTGTGCATTTAAAATCAATCATCTAATTCAATATTTTTAAACACTTGTAGTATATATTAATAATCGGCTTTCAATTTTCAGCATGTTAACAAGTGTAACAGCCACTCCTTTTGTAGCTTTTTTTCGTACAGAAATGCTAATAAATCAAATTTAATCAGGCTCACTTGTCAATATGTTGCTAAAGACTAGAAGCTCTACAATTAACTTGTATTGTGTTGTATTCTTAGAAACCTTGTTTATAGGACCATTCAATGTTGAATAGGAACTCTGTTCCTAATTTATTTAGATGTCGTGCCTTTTTAATAAATTTTCAATATCTAATTAG